TTATCTATTATTTTTTTTTCAGAAGGTGTTTTGCCCTCTGGAAGTGGCAGACCATGTTTAACTAGATCCCGCAGTATTTTTTGTTTTTGAGCTCGTGTTTTTCCTTCAAGAGGGGTCAGAAGACCTTCAGCTTTGTCTTTCTTAAGTTTTTCTTCGATTTCTTTTAATTTCTTTTCCTTCTCTAGCTCTTTCAATTTTTCTGAAGATGTTTGCTTACATACAGAAGAACGGGTCTCTTTGATGCGAGTAATCAAAGCTTTTTCTGATGCCGTACGACCTTCTGGTAATGGAACTCTCGCTGCAGCCATTTTTTTCAGTGCCACCTCTTTTTGCAAAGCAGTCTTGCCTTCAAGAGGTGTAATTACTCCCTCAGCGTGTGCTTTTGTTACTCTTAACTTTTGAGATAATGTTTTAGGTTCTGCAGGGTATCCCATTTCTTTCCTAACTTTATCTATTATTTTTTTTTCAGAAGGTGTTTTGCCCTCTGGAAGTGGTAGACCATGTTTAGCTAGATCCTGCAGTACTTTTTGTTTTTGAGCTCGTGTTTTTCCTTCAAGAGGGGTCTGAAGACCTCCAGCTTTAGCTTTCTTACATTTTTCTTCGATTTCTTTTAATTTCTTTTCTTTCTCTAGCTCTTTCAATTTTTCTGAACATGTTTGCTCTGATACAGAAGAACGGGTCTCTTTGGCGTGAGTAATCAAAGCTTTCTCTGATGGCGTACGTCCTTCGAGCGGAGTCATAAGACCTCCGTCTTTAGATTTACGTATTCTTTGTGATGGAATATTTGTTATAGACGGTTTCAATGTTGTTGGAACTTTACTTGAAGTCTTTGTTTTAATTTGTCCTATGAGAGCTTTTTCCGATGGTGTCCGTCCTTCAGGCAGAGGCACGCCAATGTCAGCAAGCCCCCGTAAAATCTTTTCCTTCTGCGCCATCGATTTTGCATCTAATGGTGTTATTAAGCCTTTAGCCGTAGCCTTTTTGTATTTTAGATTTTCTGAAGACGTCCTTGGTTGAGGAGGAAGTCCTAAATCGCGCCTAACTTTGTCGATGATCTTTTTTTCGGAAGATGTTTTTGCCACTGGCAAGGGGACATCATTGATGGCAAGTCCGCGCAAAATTTTTTCTTTCCTCTCTGTACTTTTTCCATTTAAAGGTGTGAGCAATCCTGCAGATTTCAATCGTTTCAGTTTCTTAGTAGATATTTTTGATGTTGGTCTAACTTGTTTTGTCTTGCTAACGTGTTCAGATTTTGTGACGTTCTTAAGTTTCATAGAAACCTCATCTTTCTTAATTTTTTCTATCAGTGCTTTCTTTTCAGCAGTTTTAGGTTCTGGTAATGGCAAGCCTTGTTGATGCAGTTTTCTGATCATTTTTTCATATTCACATGGCGATTTATCTTCCGACGGTGTTAAGAGTCCTTCTGCTTTTGCTTTTTTTACTTTTTCTGAACAAACTTTTGGCACCGTACGTGTAGCCTCTTTAACGCAAGTAATCAAAGCTTTTTCTGACAACGTACGTCCTTCTGGAAGCAAAGCTCCTACTGCGGCCATCTTTCTGAGCGCTACTTCTTTTTGCGAAAGAGTTTTGCTCTCAAGAGGTATAATTATATTCTCAGCATGTGCTATCGAATCTCTTAAGTTTTGTGATGCTGTTTTAGGTGCTGAAGAGCATCGCTTTTCTTTCTTAAATTGTTCTTCAGAAACTGTTTCGTCCTCTGAAAGTTCTTTTTTTTCTTTTCGAGTTTGGGATTTTTTTGCTTTTTCTTTTTTTTTCTGTTTTCCTCTTTCCTCCTTTTTTATTTCGTTTGTTACCTCGTCTTTTCCTTTTTCAGTTATTTTAGCTTCCTTTTCTGCCTTTTTGTCCTGTTTCGTTAACTTTTCTTCAAATTTTTTATCCATTTTGGTTCCTCTTGATAAATGAGAGTCACCTCGTACGTTTTCTACTTCGCTTGCAGATTTAACCAACCCTTTTTCTTTAAGTACTTTTTCCGTAGCACCTTTTTTATTAACTTTCTTCGCACCTAATTCGGTACCGGATATTTTAGACTCAACAGAGGACCTTAATTTTGCAATCTCACATAACACACAATTACACTTATCACAGGTTTTCTTCTTATAACAATCGTAAAGACCTTTCATTACTTCAAACATAGCATCTGAATTACAAAGACTGCAACAACCATCTTTTGTGCCCACATTTAGCTGGCATCTATATACTTTGGTTTGCATAAAAGGGTGTATAAAAGGACCCAAGCAATCTTGCAAAGAGATTTCACAACAATTGTTGACTCCGAAATTAGTTTTGAACGGTCTTTTATTATAATCCGTGTTATCCGAACAAATTTTTTTAAAGGTAATCGTAGAGTTAGGTTTGGTTTTATGTAACACCATTATGCAACTTTTAACGCCATTGCAGTATTCACTGTCTCCAGAATGTTGATATAAGATACTTAGTAAGTAAATCAGGTCTTTCTTGGAATATTTTACTAATTTGTAGTACTTCCTTCGTTTTATATATTTTCTTTTTTTGCACACGTAAAAATGTTTCGATTTTACCATGGTTGACAATGTGTTGTTCCTCTTCCCCTGCGAACTCAATAGCGTCAAGACGTATTTTAGTGTGCTCTTGAAATAAAAAATCTAAAGTTATGTAAAAAGCAATTTCTCAGCATAAATTTTATATAGTCTAGTCACCCAATTAATAAGTTACATAGTGCATAAGCCGGCTTTAAATTCGGTCAAATGAATCAAGATTAAAAAATAAATTTTACTTCACAACTGCTAAAAATTTGAAAAGAAAGATACTCGAGCGAATGAATTATCGACTTTGTAAATAGAACATCGACGCTTTGAGGTCAATGACGTATGTTTCAAAATTACTATACTGCATGAAGTTAACACCTGCGTTCTTTCACTCGGTACTGAGCACATTATTATAGCTGAATTGTTTATAGTAAATTAGTCCATTAACATTTCAACATCCAGTACACCCGTAACACAGCAACAAGTTAAAGGGGTCTAAATAAGCCGCACGGTCAGAAATTTTATTTAAGATCGTCGATTGCTCTCCAATTTGAAAAGTCTCTGTCTTTATAACATGTAGACAAGTTAGTGGACGGATTAAATTTTTGTTTTGGATCGTCTCGACAACCAGTTACATTACAAGACCTCTATGTTCGTTGCTGTGATTGACTGGCACTGAGTGAAACAACATAGATAAATTATTGCTCCTCTATTTTTCGTGCGACCTGGTGCTCTGGTAATTTAGATAAACAGTAATTATGCCAAAAGTATAGCGCTCCCCTCCATCACTTGCATCGCCCACCGCTGACCAGGAATCTCCTTCAAAGAATTGCTCCTTCCTAATGAATTCCTATGAACATTAAATTACATTACAAAAACCAACGTGCCCTGTTAACACCAATATGATGATGGCCAGGTGCTGGCTCAACTCAAAAAAAGAAGAGAAGATGACTGTAATGTCAACTGGCAAAATTTATTTCGTCTGATTACGGACTTAATGAAGTTACGGACTTAAGTTAAGGAATTAATGAAGTTAGAGAACGTTAATGATTACGGACTTGTTGCCTATATAAAGCATGAAGCGCAATAAAATCACTCCAACCCTCATGGACATACAGCAAAGTAATAAGCACATTGAGGATTATGTCGATTTCCTTACTTCATAAAACGAAGAACAAAAAAAGAAGATTGAGCACTTGGATGAGCAAGCCAAGAAGGATCGAAAGTACATACTGTTACTAGAACATATTTTGGAGGATATGCAACGGGATAGCCGCAAAAAGAGTCATTAAATAAAAAATCTAATAATCAAACAAAAGACCATCTGATTCATATGATATTGAACTTAGCGAAAAACACTGAATGTAATATCTCTGTGACAGACATAAGAGATATATATGTATAGCATAAAGAGCAGGAAAGAGCAAAGCAACACCCCGATAATTGTGGAAACAGCGTATACCCTTAAAAAATTACTCGCTACGAAAATGCAAGTTATTGAACTCGAAACGAAAAGCTATGTGCCAAACACTGTATAACATGAAAACAGGACTCGCCCATGTCTCTGAGCATCTTATACCAAAAGGGTCTAGGCTATTCTTCCTTGCCAAATCACCTCATAAGCAACAAGCTTGTAAGTTTTGCTGGACTAGCTATGGATGAGTCTATGTAAAGAAAGAAGAAAACTCTGCAATAATTCTTATCAGAAATGAAGGACAACTTCACACTCTTTTATCTGGAAAGTGACTAAAGTGTAACAGTAAAGTGCTGGAAGTGTTATTAATATTTTTATATTACCTAGTAACTTGTACACGCACACAATTTGATACAAAATAAATCACGTACTCATATGCAATCTTCTCCCACATCCTTCAAATTACTCACGCAGACCAAACCGCAAATATATAGATATAAAATATACATATATGATTCTCGGATTTATTACTACAGTATACATTACTTTCACAGCATGAAATTAATTAAACACATAAAACATCTATATAAAGCATTGACTTACAATTATATGGACGTCGGGTCCGCGCTAAAAAGTGTCCGAACTTATAGGGCGTTAAAATCGTATACAGAGCGTCATTCACGCTCTAGTCTTCGTTTGTTCGACTGACAGCGAAGCAAGCACAATAAGACAGTACTGCGATGACATTACAATTTAAATTCAACGTTTTAGCTCTTTCATATTTCTTGACATGTCACTACGTTTAAATAGGTTGACTTGGGGCATTTTTTTCGTGGTTTTTGTATTAGACCCGTCGTCCATTTATTTGTAAGTCAATGATATAAAGTAAATAAAATTGATTATAAAAATTTTTACGTTATCATCTTCCAATGGAATTTCAGTATCTGTTGCATGCGATATAGTATTTTAAAATATGTACAAAAACACAACAACTTGTCCCCAGAATATTAGAAGTAGTTATAGTAACATTGATGACTTTTAATCAATGATCTAAATATACAAAAAAGGGCAGATGTGTTACTAGCGTCTGCGTGGTGAAGATCCGAATCTCAGTCAAATGACCGACCTTACCATCAATCTCCGTCGAGAAAAGAGACGAACCTGACCATTTGTAGAATTGCGTCATTTTATTCAAATTTCATGAAAAATACCGTCGCACTGTGTTTTACATACACCAATTTTGTGACATGCCCTTTTTCTTCCAGATTCCTATAGTTTGAACTAATACAAATGCGAGAGTAGAATTGTCATCGGTGTGACAAATATATAGTTTCAGAGAATAAAAATTTGAAAGTTTCGTCCGGTGAAACACAAAAAATATCATAATTTGATATATTAAAAATATTGGTCGTATTGGTTAAAAATATCGACTTAGTCGTTCGACAAAACCATAAATTACACACATTTTAAACTAACTGGCAACGATAAAGATTCATTCGTCACAAAGTTATTTCATTTAATTTTTTTCGGTCTCAATTTTTTTTGATTCTTCAATTTTTCTACCTTTGCTGTAAAAGTTCGAGATTTTTACACCAGCGATTGCTGTAGCTGTCTTCTACATACCCTAAAATTATCATGAACTAATTCCGAGGATCATTGTAATTATCGGCCAAAGCACATGTGTAAAGAAGAGGAACAGAGACAAAGCTTCTAAAGAGCGTGCAAAATTTATACCTATTATCGTAGGGTTGGCAAATAATCCAATGGAAAGCACTCACATGGCAATATTAAATTTACAATTTTGCTTACGTTTTAGTATGGCACTATCAATATCAATAGTGATTAATTCTGTAATTTGATTTCGTTTTATCATCAACATGTTTTAAAGGGAGATCTTCTCGATCAACTGCTTTTAACCACTCTTGTCGTCTGAATTATAAAAAAATAACCATGAACCATCTTATTTTAATTAATAAACAATGAATTACATACATAATGAACCTATGTTTATTGATTAAAATTAAAGGTTCAGTTTTTCACATTGACGGATTTTGTTCCTTTGCCCTGGAGGCGATATTCGAACAAAAGTTTATAGCTTGATGTTGTGTTGACTGCACCTACGTATTTCAAATCATAAACTCCAATCATTTCACATTAATTGTAAAAAAATACTTAGTTCTAAAATAGTCGTTATTTTTGTTTTGAACGCAACCTTGTTAGAAAACCAATCCACCATGTACGATCAATACTAAAGCGTTTTTTGCAACACCTGGTTGATTTCGCTTTCGAGATGTAATCAATACTAAAACATTTTTTGCAATACCTAGTTGATTTTTCTTTCTATGTTGGGGTTACTACTACTAGGTTAATTATGTACGTAAAATAAGTGAATCAATTCATGTGAACATTTTGTATTGCTCAGTAAAATAATAGAATGACTCAACAAGTCGTGACTAGGCAACGTATATATATCAATAAAACACTAATTATGTAGTTCACAACAAACACGACACGCTACGTGAATATCGCCAGTCGTGAGCTGTGGTACGCGACTAAGCTGCTGTGCCCAGTACTCACTCACACATGCGCATCAGGCTTGTAGTAGTATACCTGTGATAGCGCGATTGTATGAAGCTTTGTCTTTGTTCCTTTTCTGTACTCATTATGGCGAAAGCACAAATATATAAATAATTTTCGCCGTGAGGGTTGTCACTTATTAAAAATATATTTTTGTAATGACATTGTTGGTAGATAACTAAGTTCATTAAACAATATTGAAATTTTTGAACACACTGTTTTATTTATGTAATTTAAGTAGTACTAATTAAAAGCGTATAAGTAGATGGTATTAATCTCTCTCAACGACGTGTCGTTAGCCTCATTCAAACTTTTTTTTTGGCTTTTATTCACTCTGTGCGGCTACACAGTGTTTTTTAACGGAGACAATATGGGGAAATACAAA